CTTTATGAAGTCTTTTTCACTTAATTGAGGACATGAGTACATACTCTAATGATTCAAATTAATTAATGCTGTAGCCTTTGGCAGACCGTCCTGAACTCCCTGAACTGCAGCCACTACTACTGTTTAGGATGGTGGAGGCTTCTGTAAGAACGTGTGCTTATGGACTTTAGATTTACCAGATCTCTGGAATGTGTTCTCTCTCTCTCTCTCTCTCTCTCTCTCTCTGTGTGTGTGTGTGTGTGTGTGTCTGCATGCAGAAGGTGTGGTTGTTGTTGAAGGAGGAGGATAATGACTGAAGCAGCGGAAACATAGAAAATCCTAACACTGCATATGAAGTGGGCATATTTCCTAGTAGCCAAATATGCTTATTTGCTTTAAAAGTAAGTGGCATGGCAATGAAAGCACTTTTCTTTTACTCATCAAGGAGAAAAGTGAATTGGTGGGAGGGGGTGGGCAGGAAGAAAAGTGCAACAATGAATGACTGGAAACCTGAAGTCTCTGTAAACTTTTATTAAAATTAACCAAAAAAAAAAAAAAAAGAGAGAAAAAATTAAGTGGCTTTGTCCGGAAAGAGTTTTTATTGCCCAGTTTTCTATTCATTCATTGTTCAATTATTAGTGGGCAGCCATATTGAGAGACAGAAAACAAAAAGGATTGTTTCAATGCACATCTGTTTTTTTCAAGGGCAAATTGTAGGCCTCAAGTCCCTGGGTGCTATAAATGCTTGACATTCTCAGCTGTTAACCATATAGTTGGAGGTTCAAATCCACCCAGAGGATCCTCAGAGAAGTCTAGAAACTACTTCAAATAAAAGCAGTCATCCAAAAACTCCTTAACCATAACCAAATCACCCTGACAGAATGAGTCTCGGAGTCTGAGAGTTCAGGACTGTAGTTCCAAGGGACCTCAAGGTCCTTGGGCCCAACATCCCACAAAGTTAGTATTCTATGTCCTATTTTGTTGAGTCACAACTGGTGTCCTAAAAAGTTGTATGCAGCCATCTAAGCTCCATCTATTAATCTCTTCCTTAGTAGAGCAGAGAGGGTGAATACAGTTATAGCTATGTGGAAATAATTGGTCCCCAGCACTAAATGACTGTGTGAAGCCCAGCCTCCATGACCCTGAGACCAGAACTAGATGGTGCCCGGCTACTATGGCTGTCCACTCTGTAAGGGACCAAACCAACATAGGTGACTCGGGAGAGACTGCTGACAAGTGTGGAAGAAACCTGGAAAAAATTATATGTAAATCCCATGGGAGGAGGTTGCACATCCTTCTCTCATGGAGCCACTGGTAGATTTGAGCCATTTAGGCTCAGACCTTTAGGTTGACAGCCCAGCTCTTTGCTGCTAGGCCACCAGCGTTATGCACACAATGACCCTTAGACACTCTTTAACCCTTGAAAAGTACTCAAGGCTCAACTTTCAGGCAAACAGTTGTTGTTGTTGTTATTGTTGTTGAGTATCATTAAGTCAGGACTGACCCATAATTGACCCTCTGGCAAGTTTTCAAAGACAGTAAATCACAGAGGAGGAGACTGCCCATCTTTCTCCTATGGAGCAACTAAAGTGTTGGAACCTTGTACCTTTGCGTTGGCAGTGCAGTTCTTTACTGTTAAGCCATCAGGGCTCACCAAACATTAGACAGGCCTATATGGTAAGTAATAACACAGAGGGTCTGCACTCTCTAGAACAGGAAACCATATGAGGTCAAAGAGCAGCATTTGGACAGGATAAAGCGCAGGAGAAAGAGGGATAAGGAAAAGTGTGAGTGGGAAAGTGAACAACGTGAGCGGAATACCATCCGCTGTGGGGGTGGCGGTCCATGTCACAGGCAAAAGATAAGGGGAACTTTTGAATGGAAAGACATTCTCCTCACTAAGCGTGCACCAAAATCACAACAGAAAGTTGGAGGTTTTTTCCAAACAAAAAAAGCCCTGTGAAGCACAGCTCTACTTTCTCCAGGCAGAGCCTCCCTGGATTAGAAGCTGCTGGTTTGCTTCCTTTCCCTTTGGGCTGTGGTTGTTGGCCGTCATCTCAGTGACTTTCCTTCGTCTACTCCTTGTAACTTTCCGTTACCCTTACAAATTTTTATTACGTAAAGTTGGTTAAGTAAAATTTCAAGTAAACCTTTCCTGATCTTTAGTTGCTGGTGTTTCCCCCTGCTTCATTTGTTTTAATGTTAATGAAATACCAGCAGTCAAAGGGAAAGGAGAATCAAACCACAAAGTCTGATCATTCATATGTTGAATAATTGCCTCCCACACAATTAAGGACAGGCTTATGTTTGTGTGGTAAGCGTAATCATGTTGTTCTGATCAGTCCAGTAGTTTATCCTTTATCAAGAAGTCCTGTTTCATTTGCCATGCCTTGTTCATGCCCCTATTCAACCCTGTGAGGTGGGAAACTCGGGTGGAAATATCTCCATTTTACAAATGAGGAAGCCAAGGCCACTCAGAGGTTCTAATGTCCTGGCCAGTGCCATTCAAATAAAGGGCAGCCTCCGAACTCTGCCAAATCCAGAACTGGTTCGGAATGCTTTGTCACTAAGTGGTGGACATCTTGAAGGGAGGAGGCAGACTGGCCTGTTTGTCGTTTGCCTTCATTGTCTGAATTTAAACTCAAAATCTCTCTGAAGAAGGTACTGGTTTCTCTACTGAAATGCCCACATGTTCTCTAAGTCCTTAGCATTATGACATAAACTGGGGGAAAAGTATTAAATAAATACATTATAACTGTCTTAGCAGGATTGTGTGTGGACTTAGTAGTGCATGCATAACTTGTCCAAAGCTCTTTAATTATTAACTAATAAAACAAATGAATGACTGTCATAAGTATTAATAATGTTTTATTGAGAACTAGTACATGTGTGTAATACTTTAATTGGGCATACCTTCCTAGTAGTATGTTAATTCAAATAATAAAATCAAGCCTGGGTCCAAAGGCTTCGTCAAGTAAGGCTCTGCCCCCTTCGCTTCCCTCCCTTTCCCTAGCCATACAGCAGTCACCTACAGGTAAGCGATCCATGGCCAATGTAGTCACTTAAAGATGCCACAAAAGTCACAGTATCCTTCTCACTGGGCTCAGTCCTCTTTCATATGATGTATTCACCCTAAAGATGGATAGAAAATATTGCATGTTTATTTCAGACAGGAACAAAAGTAGAAGGCAAAAGGCACATTCCAATTGTTAATATATTCATTTAAAACACTTCTGAAAGCCTAGTAACATCTGACAAATTAAATAGCTGTGGCTGCTGTTCAATTCACTTAGGTCTGGAGAAGCACACATTGTATCTAGGCATATTGCTTTCCCCAGAAACATAGGCTTCTATTAATAAATAAGAGGTAAATAGACATTTGGTAGATAACTGACAGTGTCTGTTATGGTTCCTCAATGAGGATAACGTGCTACATTATTAAACCCATAGCTATATGTTTAAAATTGTTACAGAGTTTGAATAAGGCAATAACCAATCAATCTGGGGTTGTGTAGTTAATATGGTGGAGGCTTAGCCTGTCTTTTAAGCTTCTGTAGAAGTCAAGTGTCAGGCTGAGGATCACTTTTTCTATTAAGAGGCAGTGACCCTTAGGGAATAGTTCGCCAATGTACTGTGTTTTTTTAAAAGGGACTAACTAGCTGACTTTCAGTAAGAAGTGGCAGATAAAATTTCAGTTCTACTCTTGTTTTCAGACTGAATTGGGACATTTAAAACTTGGTCAAAGAAATAGTAAATATTAAAAATTATTCTCCATTTTACAATTTATTAACTAAAGGGACTCGGAGCACATGAAAGAGAAGAGAGGCAGCTAAACTCAGGTGGAAGAGTTTGCCAAGTGGCTCCTCTGCACAGACACCTTTTATCACTCTCCTGCCTCTTTTCTCCTTCCCTTCAGCTCACAGCTCAGTGAAATCAGTTCCCCTCCTTCCGATTTGCCCACGGGGCACATGCTTAAAACCTACTCTGTACATCATCCAAGTCTGAGAATACAGTTTTTGTCAGTGGGAATGAAAAGTCACTTAGCATGACAAAGTCCAAGCCCACAGATTTCTAAGACTGGAACCAATGTGGCTCCTCCTAAGGAGCAGCTGGTGGATTTGAACCACTAATCATTGCGTTAGCAGCCAGATGCCTTAAAACTACAGTGCTGCCAAGACTCCTTAACATGATAAAAGAACATTTCAAGCCAATAACCACATCATTCTTAACTTTAAAATGTCAGAAGAATCATAAAATCTACGGGGAGAACAGTGATTTTTTTTCTAATAGTTGGTGCCAATATAATAGCAGAAATTGCTATTTAACTGTTGGAAATGTGGTGACACAGACACTTCTTATAGGTAATATTTACCTCTCCAGAATAAAGCAATTGAACATGACTCTAAAGCCTTCAATGGATATTTTATCCATTTTTTAAAATTGAATTCACAACCAGGTGAATTTTCACAAAGCAAACACCTCTTACATGCTCAACACAGAGATCAAGCAGCACAACAGTCCCAGCACCCTGGAGAGCCCCCTGAGTCCCTTCTAAACACTGCTTATAATCTTTAGCTAGGCTTCTATATTGTTTCAGGGGTTTTTTTTCCTTTGTGCATATTATGATTTCTAAAATTCCAGCGGTTCTATCATCAGTAAACTAACCATGATATGTATGTATGTTTAAATATAGAAGCGTAAGTTATGTTCTAAGCTAGGATTTCAATGTATTAAGTATGTTCACTATTTACTGGATCAGTACCTGATTTTTTTTTAAAGGGATCTTCACATATGCCCCCATCCTTCAACATCCGTAGTAAAATAATCTGTTGCTGACTCAGAAACCATTTAAAGGACATAAATAGCAAAGATACGATCCACTTTATTGAGAATTTTAAAGGATTAATAGATCTTGGACTTGCCAAAAGAGATTGATTCCATGATTCACATTACCTCTCTTCCTGTTTCTCTTTTGGTGTCTGTTGCTTATTTCTTACTTTTTCTTTTATTGTTTCCTCTAGATTGTGAATCTTATAGAAGAAACTGGACACTTTCATATCACAAACACAACATTTGATTTTGACCTTTGCTCGTTGGACAAAACCACAGTCCGTAAACTACAGAGTTACCTGGAAACTTCTGGAACATCCTGAGGATACGACTGGATGCATCAAAAACTATTGAGTTGATTTTTTTTTTATTTTGTTTTTTGGTTGTGATTTTTTTGTTTGTTTGTTTGTTTATATGAAAACACTCAGAATGATGCAACCAAAAGGGAAAAAAGTAAAAAACAACCTTCAGCTTTATTTTTTCTTTAAAGCCAGTCATCATCTCTTGATAAAGGAGAGGTTAAACAAACCAGCCTCAGAGGACCACTCTTCTCTCCAAGGAAATCCCCAGGAGGAGTTAGCCTGGATAGCCTTGAAAACCACCCAGTCAAACACAAAACAAGAACACTCAAAGAATGTGTATGGTATCCTGTCTCTCTCTGGTGGTTCATTCCACAAGACGAATGCATATTCAACACACTGCCTTATTACATAACTGATCTATTTATTATCACATATGGATGTTCTGAAGTGGAGGGAATGACACCACCAGACATTCTAAGTACTCTGTCCCGTGGATGGTCTTTCAATGCAACGCCCTTGCCATCCCAAACCCAGTGACCTTACTCTTAATTCCTTCCGTGCCACTTTCCGCCAACTTTTTTCAAGTCCTCTAACTCGTTGCAGTCTGTATTTTTCCAATGTTTGTTGTTTTTGTTTTGTTTTCTAGTTCCAGGACACAAATTATGAACTGGAGGGGAAGGGGAGGGACCAAATAACCACCCTGATTTCCTTCCTTGTGGTCTCTTTCCTGAAAGTTGGGGCCAGTCTTTGGCTGTATCCATGTAATGATCTTGGACCATGGTAGAAAATGCACCAAATAGGATCATATGAATTGCTGTCTAGCCTTAGTCAATAAACCTGTAGGACTTTTAAACAAAAGTGTACCGTAAGAGTCCTGAATCCAGCATCCTTGATCTGTTACCATCATTCTTGTGTCTGTTTTACTGTTATTAGGTAAACATGGAGGTAAAGGCATTCCACAGGATCATTTTAAAAAAGGAATACTGGTCCTGTTTTCTAAAGAAATGTAGAAATTCTTCACTTGGACCTATTTATTAGAGTTCCGCCCTTCTCCCAGCTGCCAGCGTGGTGTTCATCTTTATCATGAAACATGAAATAAGAGATGTTTATTTGTTCCCATATGATTCCCTTAGCCTCTTTTATATTTGAAAAATTAAAAGCTTTCTTTGGGGGGAAATTTCTGGTTATTCTACCATAACAGATTATGTATTAACGTGTAGATTCAGTGGTTCGATACCTGTTTAGTCCTTGCTTATGTTTCCAGAAGGATTTCTTGTATTGATGAAAATAAAGATGGTTTGGGGGGGGGAGGGTATTTTGTTCATGATGTACCCTTGTTTTGAAACTAGAAAACTGTCCTGTGGCATGCAAAAGAAAGCAAATTATTTTTAAAAGAAAGAAAGAAAGAAAAAAAAAATACTTTTGGTGTCTTTATTGTATCCTCTCTATAAATGGAGAAACGCAGAATGTGACTAGCTCATCTTGTAAGTTTTTAGTAGGAATGCAGCTGAAAGCAAAAGAAATGAAGACCTACTTTTGGATCCAAAGGTTCACTTGCTGGATCAGCCTTAAGAAAGTCTCTATGTGTGCTGGTAGACTAGTATCTCTCTTGTTTATTTCATGCCAGATGCTGTCTTTTCATCCAGAGATTAACTAGTGTCTGTACAGAAAATAGTCTTTCCAAGCTCCGTCTTTTGGGCAGTAATGTAAATGCAGATGATAATGGGGTTAATTCTGCATTTTAAAAAGGGGATTTTTACACAGTTTCTTTCTATCCAAAGAAACTGGGGTGGGTTTTTTTCCCCCTTTTAAAAATGATACTCCAGCCATACTTCTTATAAATTTCTTTTCTGAAGCATCTTCCCAGGAGACAAGTATATTTTTCACCAGTATTCTGACTCTTAATGATGCTTGGTATGAACTGCACTTGAAGTGTTTGTGTGTAGTCCGTTTCTCAATGTGCAATTTCAGAGAGACTTTGCGTCATTTTGGACATTAGTATACTGCTGAATTGTGTAGCTTTAGTTATGTATGCTCTTAAAATTTTATAGGTGAAAAGGGAGGACAGTGTTTATATGGAAGTGTTGGCAACATTTAAAAGCAAATTAAACTTTCCTAACTGCTAATCCACATATTCTCATTAAGCCACAAAAGTTATGTGGTTTAATGAAAATCTCTGTACAGTTTAACTAATAATGTGTAAATATAGTTCAGGCCATTTTTATTTTTATAACCAAATTGTGTAGCAAAATCTATTGCAGTTTTAGATCGTCAGTATAAAGAGTTTTGATCTTTGCTCTTTTTAAAAAAGTTAGTAACTAAGAAATTAGGTGTAACATAAGAAATGACCAAACAACAAGAAGTAATACTAAAAGCAGCTATTATTGTCATGGTTTTTTAGATAATAAAACAGTTGTCTTGAGATTGTCTCATCAAAATATAAGCTTGAAAATATAAATAAGCTTATACTCAAATTGAAGAAACTGACCAGTATTCAATCTTTGAGACAGTAAAATGAGTTTCCCATGAGATTCTTCTGGTAGAACGAAGGTGACACTGTTGCTTTTTGGAAGCTTTACTCTTTCTCTCATTTGATTTTTAAATGAAAAGGTAATAAATTAATTTCCTATTCATTTCAAGTGGTTTACACTAAAAAGTAACTCGTTCATTTCAGACACATATGTAATTTGTTACATTCCCCTTTGTTTTTTTTGGGTTTTTTTTGTTTTTTTTCTATAATTATATTTTATTTTCATAAACATTTACAGAGATTTTGGGTTTCCATTCATTCATTGTTGCACTATTCTCTCTACCCTCCTCCCAGTTTGTTCTTGTCCAAATGCCACAGTGCTTGTCAAAGCCAGTTCTGATTAATCTTCTTTGTCAGTGTGTCCTTTGCCATTCCCTATCACTCCTCCCTGAGAGAGACTTCACCCTGAGTCATAAGGAAAAGGGGATGGCATATTAGCTACTTCCTGCTGAAAAGGGACGCTGTGGGTTTCAGGGTGAAGATCTTCTCTCACTACTCTAAAGGGCCCCTTTGGCAGTAGGAAACACATAGACTATTATGGAGATTGATTTTGGAATTTAGATGCACTCTTATTGATTGTGCTTGGCCATACATGTTCATATCCTTGAAGATGTATCATGGGGGTGTTGCAACCTAGAAGACACAAATTTGACTAACAATTTATAAGTACATGAGTCAAAAATTATGGAAAAGTAAAAGAAAAGATTCTTTCATTGTTTTACAAACCCTCCCCCAGGTCCCCTCCACCATGTAGCCCTCGCTCTAGTCTCCTGTGATGACAGAAATACCTAGTTATATATCTCTTTTAAACAGTTTTCTCCCTCCTCTGTTTCAGTGCAGTATACATTATTGAACCCATCTTACTCAGTCTCTCCCCAACCCCAAGGACAGTCCCATTCTACAGCAGTGGCATCATATAATATTTGTCCTTTTGTGACTGGGATATTTCACTCAGCATAATGTTCTCCAGAGTCAACCATTTTGAATAATATTGCATGAGTTCCTTGTTTTTTAATGCAACATAGTATTCCATTGTGCGAATATACCACAGCTTCTCTAGCCATTCGTTTGTTGATGGTACATTCCCCTTTGTAACCCGCTAAAATATATTTTTAACATGTACAGATTATAGCATTGGTGTTTGGAACACAAAGGGGAAATTACAGGGCTTTTTTTTTCTTGGTATGAGAAATGTATATAAAAGAGAATAATTTGAGTCATTGTGACTCAATGCAGAAAAAAAATATTATGTACAAACCCCCTCCCCCCATAAACTAGCTTTTACGTCTGGGTTTTTACAGCAGGATATGCATGAGAGGGAATCCTCTCTTCGTAGGATGTAGCAGTGGTTTCAGAAACAAAATGTTGGCAGGTATTTCAGGTCTTTGTCACAATCTGTGTATCTTCAGGTAGACAAATCTCTATGTTTTTGCATATTGTAGTGAAATAGGCAAGAATATGAAAACTTAAGATCAGGAGGCAAAACTTGAGAAGAGAAAATTCATAAGAGTTTGTCTTAAAAACATTTCTAAGTTGCTAAACAGCTCTCTCTAATATGAGTAATTATTCACCTATATGTGGAAACCAATAAAATTGGTTGTATGACACTTATCAAAAAGCAGTTTCTTTTGCCACTTTTATAGATTCGCCTGATCTTTAAAATAGACTATTTAGGCCTATATAACATCCCACACATCATTATGAATCCCTCTCATGTAGTTAATATAATTAAGGGAAAGACTGCTCTTAAGTGTTTTAACTCTGCCTACTTATTGGAGTTGGATGTTCAGTGTTAAAAATGGCCAGTGTTGTGTTTGGTTACTTATGTTCATTACTGTGAAAGTGATTATCTCTAGGGTACTTTGCTATATGCTTATTACATTCCACCTTTATCTGTGTGCAACACCATGACATACTGTGTCAGTGTGTGTGCACCTCCCCTCCCCCATACAACCAGCGTGCTTTGGACTGTAGCTATAAAATGACGTATGCTGTAGAAACTTCTCATCTGCAACATATATTAAGGAGCCTATTTTCATGATTTCCCTAGGTAACAGGCTGATGTCTGTATCTTTTGACCTCTTCTTTTCCATGATGTTTTTTGTTATGTAGGCGCTTGTAGCCATCTTGAAAATTCCTTGTACAGGTCTCTGGAAGACGTCCACTTAAAAGGAAGAAAAAGCCACTGCTGTCTGTGAACTGGAAATATGTATTTTGGCACTTGTCTTCCAGTATTCTGAAAATAGAGTCATGTTGGAAAGGCTGACAGATCCTTAACATTGAACTGGGCTACCATGTGGTGCAAAAACAAGTAAAAATATATTATTGAGATGAATAGTACAAGGCCAATCTATTTTGTAAATCTGTCAATGTCTTTTTAATGGAGTATGTATGAGCATTTGTGCTGAAAGTGTATATGTACATTTTTACATATACTCTAAGGCAGACATAAGACATATTTCCTCTTTCTAAAACCTGTGCAGAAATGTAAGTAGAGATTGACAGAAATAGGTATTTTACTTAAATTGATATATAACCTAGTGTGGTTCCATTTTCTTTACAATCTTACTGATTTAGAGGATAATTAGAGCAAAGTTTGGTTTGTTGTATGGAAGAAAAATGAACCTTTATCTTT